ACCAGACAGACAGAGACAGACAGAGAGACAGACAGAAAGTGAGAAATCACCCCCCGGGGGGATGGCCATACCGCAATCCCTTCTCCTCTGTTCTCCTCTCGGGATCCTGGGCACGCACACACACGCGCCCAGCGTGAGTTTTAAGCCACCAGGTCCGGGGCGCAAACCGTGGTCGATCACGTGAGAGTCCAGTGACATAGCCATTACGCCAACTGCTGGTCCCCCGGCTTAAAGTTTTAAGCAAAGTTTCTTAGCATTTCTTCTATTTACTAAAGCTAAAACTGCTTTTCTTGAAATTAAAACATGTATTTAAAAAGATCTGTTTAATGACCATAGTAAGCTAAATAGCGTCAGCAAGGTGCTATTTTATAGTATATTCATTCTACTCAAAGTTTCACACCTAAATTCAGACATGTATTCACAGATATGTATAGATCAGCTGAACTTGCTATTGAAAGTAGTTGGATTATTTTTAAATATTTGTGAATCAATAAAATATAGGGAAAAAAAGGAATGGAAAAAAACTGTAGATACCAGAGATAGTGTTGTAGGAGTGTGGGAAATGGCAGAGCATGAGAAAGGGGAAAAATATATATACATATGTATGTAAAATGAGAAATGGAAAATTACTTGTCGATTATAACATGTATAATTAAGTCACTATGCAGTCTATTCTGGATGGGAAATCACATTTGTATGCTGTGATGATGCTCAGTGAATAAAAAATAAATGACTAAAATAAAGAAAAAAAAGAAAACGTCATCATATAATTTGTCTGGAAGCATAAAAGAAAACATATTTCCAAAGCAATCCTGCACAATAAGAGTGGAGTAGGAGGCATCTCATTCCTGATGTCAAAATATATTACAAAGCTTTGGCAATCAAAACAGCATGGTACTGGCACAAAAACAGGCATATAGACTAATGGAATAAAACAGAGATCCTAGAAATAAAGCCCAAAACATATAGCCAATTGATTTTTGACAGAAGACTTCAGACAATACAGTGAGGCAAAAAAAAATCTCTTTATCAAATTGTGCTGGAAAACTGGGTTTACACTTGCAGAAAGATAAAACGAAAACCTCTCCAAAAAAAAAAAAAAAAGTGTAAATATGTTACTTTTTTTACTGACTAAAAATGAATTTCTCTAGGCATGAGTAGATATAATGACATATTGAATATATATTATCACCCAGTATGATCAGAGGCATTAGAACTCTGAAACCAGGAATTTTAAAAAATTAGTTAAAAAAAATAATTCTTAGATAATCAGAGAGCATCCTAATTATTACTAACTACAATAAAGTGTTCTCTTTAATGAGGACAGTATTATTTATTCAGTTTGTTAACAGGCCAAATATTAGACACTGAGTTGTATTTCTTTTAAGAAGGTAGGCCTCCATATATTCTTGTGTTTGTGGAAATTCTGTCCATTAAAATAGCCCTGGAAAAATGATCTCCTCCTCTGCCTCTTCATATCATGTTGAAAAAGAAGAAATCTCTCTCTCTAGGGGCCTAGAAAGCTCATTTTTGTACCTGCAGAGTGAAAGGGAATTATTCTCGAAGGCTCATTTTTTGTACCTGCAGAGTGAAAGGGAATTATTTTACATATAAATGATCATACAGTTCTCCTTTTACATATTTTCTCTCATCCACTAAATATTGATATACACTTATTTATCAATATGTCAATATTTAGTAATAAACACACACACACAATTTGTTCCCAACCTCATGGAGCTTACTTTTCTATGGAGGAGGGTTAAGAGGAATCATAAAATTACATACTGTGTAAGAGAGAGACATTGGAAAAACAAAGAGAGAAAAAGCATGAAAAGAGAACATGAAATGTTGTAGGGAGTTGAGATTTTAGACAGCGTCGGCACCAGAGAAAGACTCACAGAGTAGGCGACATTTGAAGTAAGACCTGAAGGAAATGGAGATGGGGAACTGGCTAGGCAGACAATTGATAGAAGTGCAGTAAAGGTGATAAAAAGTAACAGGGAACCCATCAGATATCTGTGGATAGATGGGGCTTATGGTAAAGCCACAATAAAGACTTTATTTTTGACTTTGAGTGAAACAGCCATTTTGAGCAGGAAGGTGCTCTAACTTAACATGGGTTTTCAACTGTGACCAACTATTTTCAACACATTTGCCTGCTTCTTGCCAAGCTCAGCAGCGGGGAGACCTGTCAGGAGACTGTCGCAGAGGTAGGCTGAAGTCCCTAAGGATGTAAGGCTAATGGACCCAAGGGTATGGCATGGGACGCGTAGAAGTAATCAATTGAATTTAGAGTGTGTTTGACCTCACGGAAGACACCAAGGTTTTTGCCTTGAGCAGTTGGATAGATGCCATTAACCGAGATGGGGAAGACTGTGAAAGGAGTTATTATTATCATCCCCATTTTGTGTGAAGAAACCCAGACGCAGAGAAGTTAATTTGGCCAAGATCGCCAGGAGTAGTAAGTGGTAAAAAAGGATTCAGACACAGAGACTAACTCTGGAACCCCATGCCTACCACTGTACTGGATTCATTTTTCTTGGAATGCCATTTTTATTCAAATCATTGGAGGAAAGATTTTATATTCAATATCATATGTTATAATTAGAGACACAAAATTCTTATTAATTTTTAAGATACAACTCTTACACTTCAAAAAATTATTTACCAGTTTATTTTATTCGTAAAGTCCTAGGCATCCCTACCCATGTATAATTCACTCTCCCTTATTTCAAAGGCACTTTGGTAGAAGTATTTGAGGAATAGTCTCATATTCTGTACAAGTATTAGGTATTCCCATATTCATCCCAAACTACAAGATAGTTACAACAGTGATGAAAACTTACTTTCCTTGGTTTCAAGTATTTGGTCGTCTCTCACTATTTTTCCTTCTTTATTCTGTTTTTTTCTCCATGTCACTGAAAACCTCTGCTAGGGCTGAAAATATCTGTTCCTTATTATGTTATGTGTTGCTATTAAGATCATTCAATAAATACGGGGATGCTATGTTAAGTGGCATTTTGAACCTGGATATCTACAAACAGTCTGTTTTCTTCTGTAACCAGTTCCATTGAGACCTCCTGAAATTAGTTTGACAAGTCGAAGTCCCACTGATATTCTCATCTCCTGGCTGCCAATCCCAGCCAAGTACCGGCGGGGCCAAGTCGTGTTATACCGGCTGTCCTTCCGCCTGAGTTCTGAGACTTCTGTACACATGCTGGAGCTCCCGGGGACCACACATGAGTACCTTTTGGAAGGCCTGAAACCTGATAGTGTCTACCTGGTCCGTATCACTGCCGCCACCAGAGTGGGGCTAGGAGAGTCTTCCGTATGGACTTCACACAGGACACCCAAAGCTACAAGTGTGAAAGGTAGATTTCTAAAGACTATTGGAAGAATACCGTCTTTTTACTTTTGAAATAAGCTTTCCTTCTCTAAATGATATCCAAATTTTTAAATGTTGTTTCATGAATTAAAATAGTCTATAGATTTTGGAAAATAATTATGCGTACTGTGAAATTTTAACTACTTTTTAAATTTAGTAATCCCTTTTTGCTAGAACTCAGTGTGTAAAACTTTTTGTTATACTGTTAGTTTGCTTGGCAAGTCTTTCATGGACAGATTAGTCCCAATCAAACTAAATTACCAAAAATATCTATTAGCAGAGACCTAATTAATACTATTGCCATATACTTTTAATTTATTTATTATCATTCTTTTTCAATTTTGGCCAGAGAGAGACAGAGAGAAAGTGAGAAAGCAATCCTCCAAGTCCGGGACACAAACTGTGGTTGGCCATGTGAGAGTCCAGCGCCTTTAATCAGCATCCACCTGCTGGCCCTGCCATATACTTTTAAAGTCATCAGTTTGGGGGGGGCGACAGGTGGTGTGGTGGTTAAGGTGCTGGATTCTCACATAGCCAACCATAGCTTGAGTCCCAGACCAGGAGGCTTGCTTTCTCACTTTCTCTCTGGTCAAATTTAAAAAGCATAATAAATAAATAAATAAATAAATAAATCCCTTTAAAAAAAAATAAAGTCATTAGTTCACTAGAAAGACCATGAGACTGGGGAATTCTAGTCCATTCACATATGCTAATGTTTCATCATTCATTGATTGCCTGTTCTTTTTATCATGGAGAAAGACTGGGTGGTCAAAATTAGTATTTATTGCCTCTTTGAAAAGACAGTACAACTATTATTTTGTAATTATGACTACATCTTGGTTTTTCTAGGTAGTAGTCTATATATTTTATTCTATCTCAAAAGTTTAATAGTATTAGAAAAGTTAGGTTCAAGTTTAATTGCTGAAATTGAACTTTTGTAACTACAGGCTTAACACTGAGTGAGATTCTCCATTCTGTGTCTTCATGTTGAATTCTGAGTGTTTGCACAAACATCTTCTGGTGTACTTTTCTAGCCCCTAAGTCTCCAGAGTTACATTTGGAGCCTCTGAACTGTACCACTATCTCTGTGACGTGGCAGCGGGATGCTCGGGACACAGCTGCCATTCAGGGCTACAAGCTGTACTACAAAGAGGAAGGGCAGCAGGAGCATGGACCTATTTTCTTAGACACCAGTGACCTTCTCTACACTCTTGGTGGTTTAGGTGAGTGACTGTATCTTTCTCTCTTTCTCCCGGCTCTGAGGATCCACACTTTCTGGAGTTCACTTCTGAGCAGTTACTGTGAGTGTATGGTATGTGTAATTGGGATATTAGCAAAGGATCAAGTAATACTCGATAATTAAGTTTAACTTAGAATTTGCTGGAGAGTGCTATATATGGAAAATAATCCACATACATTATGTATAAACTGAGACCTTTACATATGACTCATGTAACTGTAAATATTTATGTTTTACATAGTTCTAACCCAGGAACACTGGAGAAAAAACACTGAACTTTGTTGTCTGGATTTATCAGCATTCTGAAAGACACCATTTCATTCCTTATTCTCTCAGTCTTTGCAGGGCAAAAGGGATTTATTTCATGATACAAACCTGTTTAGTAGGAAGCAAAGGAATTTACATCTAAAATGAATACATGAGGATGAACAGATCTGTACTCATCAAGGTGTAAAATGCACACTTAGCTATTCGTTGCGTGTGAGTAGAATTTTACCCTTAAGTGAAAAGCAGTCACTTGAGTTGTGGTTACTGACCAGTCCCCCCGGTGGTGTTACAACACCTGTGCACATTACAATTTACGAAGCACTCGGCTTTCCCTTTCTCTGACTGCCCGTCGGAAGGGAGGCAAGGTGACTGGGCACGCTGGTACCACCATGAGCATCTCCATTTCCTTCCCTGACAGCACAGCAGTGTAAGCCATGAGGGCAGCCTGAGACTTACATCCCTGTACGGTAAGAAGCAGTGGTGGGAATCCCGTTTCAGATGCAGGGGCACAGAGCTAGAGCTGAGGTTCTCTGCCATAGTTTCCCAGGGGGCATTTTGTTTAGGATCCTGTTATGTTGGTTGTTACTTTAATCTGCATTAAGTTAAGTGCATTTCACTACTGAGCATTGTCACACAGCTTTATTAATGATGAGGAGAAGTTGCACATGTTCCAGGTTGACCTTCCTTAAACCATTGATACTGAGATGACATTACCCCAACTGACTGTCACCAGAGTCAGCTGCATTTAGTTCTCACCATGGCTTTTTAATGTGCTCTTCCTTTCTACAGAAGAGTCATGAAAGTCTGTTTTTCTATGCAAAAATGCATCATGACTTTTCCAAAGACCCAGTATATGCATATCATTGATTCAAGAAAATGTTACTTAGAATCAACAAAGCAACAGGATTTGGGACAGTCACTGAGGAACAGTCATAGGCCACACTCATTACTTCCATGTCCTTCACTGTTAAATAGAAATACGCTGAATATAAAAATAAAAGTGGGCTAGGACCAGCAGTTAGCGTAATGGCTATGTCACTGGACTCCCATGTAGTCGACTGTGGTTCGCATCCCGGACCTGGTGGCTTAAACTCACGCCGGGCGCGTGTGCGTGCGTGCCCAAGATCCTAAGAGGAGAATGGAGGAGAAGGGATTGCGGTGTGGCCATCTCCCATGGGGGTGATTTCTCACTTTCTGTCTCTCCATTTCTCTCTTTCTGGCGAGCACACGCACCCTATAGCAAAAACTTCTAAAAAAATAATAAAAAAATAAAAGTGGGCCAGCTAGGTGGTGTGGTAGTTAAGGTGTTTGAATCCCACATGGCCAACTATGCAGTTCAAGTCCAAGAAACAAGCCAGGTTCATGTGTGTGCATAGCCAAAATTCTGAGAGGAAGATGGAGGAAAGGGAATTACAGCATGGTCAGTCCCCCGTGGCGGGGGGCGGGGGAGGAGGAGGGGAGTGCTTTCTCGCTTTGTCTTTCTCTTTCTCTCTGTCTCTCCAGTGAGCATGCACACCCACTAGCAGATTTTTTAATAAACAACAGCAAAAACATTCCTAGACCCAGTTGTGGTGGCACAAGAAGTAGGGTGCTGCTGCAGGATACTGAAGCCATATGGGTCGCCTAGGTTTGGATCCCAGGTTGACCCAAACATTCTAGATAACTTCTCACACTCTTGTGGTCCTGGCTAGCTGGGAGACTAGGGGAAGGATCATAATATCATGAGACTCTGTTAAGGATTCCTGTCTATCTCTCATGAAAGAAAAATAATGAAAATAAATTTTTAAAATACATCCTCTAAATTCTCTTCTTAAATATACCTTACAGGTAGATTATTCTAAATAGATGAATAATTTATTAGGGGAAAAAAACACAAAATAATGTTCTGCTTATGAAAAGTTTAGAAAAACATTTTATTGAAACTTTGGTAATTAAAAGTGATGTTTTTTAAGACAGTTTTTTTTTTTTTTTTTTTTTTTTTTTTTTTTTTTTACTATAAGGGCACATGTACTCACTGGAGAGACAGAGAGACAGCAAGAAATCACCCCCTTAAGGTGGGTGATCAAACCGCAACCCCCTCTCAAGTCTTCTCTCAGGATTTTGAGTATGCACACACATGCACCCAGTATGAGTTTCAAGTCACCAGGTCCGGGACTTAAACCATGGTTGACGATGTGGGAGTTTAACAACATAACCATTATGCCATCTGCTGGTTCATTAAAAAAAACTCTTTAAAATTTTAAAACATTTTTCATGTGTATGTGTATACATGTATTAGGTTATTGGGGAAGTCATGACACATTTTTGCATAGCAAAACATCAAAAAAAGAGGTCCCAACTTTCCCAGCGACCTGATGTATGTGTGTATATGTGTATTGATGTATATAGGTATATATATTTAGATCTACACAAACCTTTGATTTTTGTCAGTTTTTTATAATAGCTTTCAAAACTATAAACTGTTATTTCTGCACATGCTTTAGAAATAAATCACATATATATTACTACCTTTGTTTTTATGTTGTAAAATTCATCGAGGGACCAGCAGATAGTATAATGGCTATGTTGCTGAACTCCCATGTAGCCAACCACGGTTCGAGTCCCAGACCTGGTGGCTTAAACTCATGCCAGGCACGTGTGCATGTGTGTCCAAGATCCCAAGAGGAGAATGGAGGAGAAGGGATTGCGGCATGCCCATCCCCTCTAGGGGGTGATTTCTTGCTTTCTAGCTCTCTGTCTCTCTATGTCTGTCTGGCGAACGCACGCACCCTATAGCAAAAACCTCTCCAAAAAACAAACAAACAAAAAAATCCATTGAGTACACTGTTTGAGATAATGCCATTTAAGTGTATTAACTGGGAAATTATTATGTTACAGCCTATATGAGGGGGACTCTCTGAAAAGTTCGTGGAAATGCATATTATGAGAAAACCATACATGGATTTCAAAAAATATTTGCACAAGAATCTACTTGTACTTTAATGCCATTTTCCACAACCTTTTTGAAGTCTCCTTGTACACCAAGTCTATTAAAATAGTTCCATGTTTCCTGACTCAAATCAGACTGAATGGTTAAACTAATTGCAGTTCGGGTATCAGAGGCCTCTCACAGCTCAGGGTAGGTGCTCTCTTGTTAGACCCAGAGCTGCCAAGTAGCAGCCAGAATGGCTGACTAGCAGGGAGGCCGTTGTGAAGATTTACAGCTGTTCTAGATCACCTTTAAGGAGCCTTTTAATCATAAGACCCCCTAGGGTCTAGTCTGCCCTTCCTAGAAAGTTAGTTTTGGGACCTCGCCAAGCTTACAGCAGGCAGATCCTAACAGCTCTCCGTCCTGGCCTTACTTTCGGATGTGGGAGGGCAGTGTGTTCTGGTAACTGGACAGCTGACCATCTGTGACCATTTGTAGAAGAGCATCTGGCGGGAGCTGCCTGTTTAACAGGAGTGATGTGTCTATGGGGCATTAGGTTAAGGGACTGCTGTCTGTGTCTCGCATGGTGAGTGCTTGCTTTCCCTGAGCTTCTGCACATTAAAGGAACTAACAGGAACTAGATTTACTAAGTGGGCTTAAAAATGAAATTTAAACGCTTCTGTTTGCTGATTCAGTGTCAGTTTGAGTAACAAACTGATATTTCAAAATTTCATTTTCATGCTAATCCTCTTTGTGATACCCTTATACACACATCCTTTTATTTCCCCTTTTGGTTTTGGTAATGAAGTTTTCCATTTAAAAAGTATGTTATTGGGATACATTATTGTTGGTAATGCACACAGTTCTGTGTTTCTGAAGAAAGAAAAAGACAAATGAATTTATATATTTTAATTCATTTGAAAAGTATTTTTAAAATATTTTTCTAAGTAAGGTACTATGTAAAAAGATGTAATAATTTTGACCTCTGCTTAAAGCAAGAATTAAACCAAAAGATATTTAACTGACTGAGTTACCCAATTTTCTTCAAAATTTTTAATGAACTAAATTTAGCTATACTTAGTAATTAAAGGTATTTTAGAATATTCGACTCTGAAATCTCAAAGCTCAGTTCCCTGAGATGTAGTGTTTTGGTTTTTGAAATAGCTAAAAGTGGGGCTGGCAGGTGACATGGTGATTGAGGTGCTGGACTCCCACGTGGCCAACCATGGTTCAAGTCCTGGGCCTGGTGGCTTGCTTTCTCATCCCCCCATCTCTCTTTCTGGTCAAATTTAAAAATATAATAATAATAAATAAAAATTAAATAAAATAGTTATTTTTAAAAATATCTATAAAAGTGTAATATAAATACTGGTAGAGCAGTAGAAATACATATTGCTAGTTTGTTTGAGTTTAATGACTTTAAAATACAGTTTTGTTTTTAATTAGAACTGATTTACTTTGGAGTAGTTGGGGGAAAGTACTAAGCTTGTGATTGAGTGTATTTGTGTGATTTGTTCTAAATTGTGGAATGAGGTTTGCTTCATGATTTTGCATTTTGGTAGTGATTATTTTCACGTAATTTTGGGGGGCACTTTCAGTGTTCAGCTCCGTTATTACTAGGATATTGAAATGTTTGTTACATCTATCAAACAATAAACAAAAGCAAGATTACTAACATCCTTATGTTCCCTAATTAAAATAATTCCTTTCTCTTTTTCTTTTGTCTATTTATTTTAGAAATTGACTTTCATTTCTGAAGTTTCAAATTGTAAAGGGACTATTTTCATAAGCAGTCAGAAACTGTTCTG